GTCATGAATATGATAATAAAGATGTGGACAACAGTCCGAACAATGCAAATAGTATAAATAGTTACAATAACTCATCTCAGACAGATCCTGAAGAAGGCCGGAGCGTAAAAGTTACGAAGTAAGATGAAGTCTTATAGTCCGGACATTGTAAACAGTGTAAATAACGGAGAAACAAACAGAATTATAATTTGATTTAGTAACTGAGCTTAACAAAATTTTAGGAAGCCGCTGAGATTCGATCTCACTTTACAGTCGGTCAGCCGTACTCGACTCGCTATCTATTATTGCATACCGAATCATCCGAAAGTTTTTAAAATGAGTGATACAATTCTTACTAACTTCAATTAATGATAAGAGGAAACTTATGATTCTTTTTTAACCTAAATTCTTGAAAGCAAGATATTTTTTTATGGGGAAGGGGTGGACGTTGTCTTGAAAAATGAAAAATATATATATCATGATTCTTATCTTGATTGATATGCAATTATTTTTATGCCTCAATATGATATTTTTTTCACACTCCCACTCCGCAAAAAATATAAATATCACATTTGGCATTTTTATTAATATTGGCGTTTACTTCTTTGATTTGTCATTTGATGCGATCATTAACCAAATCTTAAAGGTTTTTTTTTTTTTTTTAGGGGGTTTATTCGACTGAAAGCGTTTGGGAGTAAATCTCATTAATACAATCTTTCCGATTTCAGATACAAATGGTTTTCTTAATGTACCTATCAACCTTCATTTTAATCATACCGAGTGCTTCAACTATTACGGGTATAACTGTAATTGTAACACTCGCCGTTTCCTTATAAGGAAACATTCGGCAGCCAATGACCGAGCAGCCAGTACGATTGAAATTTATAAAATCTTTCTCTGAGAACATTTTTTCAGGTAAATAGCTTTCTCATTTTCCGTAGTTGTTATAGCTCTTTTCAGTACTGATGGGCGGGTTTCTTTCCTAAGATTTATAAAATCTTTCTCTGTACTGCGTAACCACTGATGGGTACGGGGTTTGTCTACATCAGCTTGTCTGGTACGGGCTGAGTATAGACCATGAAGAGGTTTATCGTGCCACCATTTCTGCATTCGGTACCTTGCATTTGCTTTTTATTTCTTTTTGCCGCTGCAGTAGGTGTATTATGGTTTATTTGTACTTCTTGACCCACTTGAAATTCCCTTTTGAATTTGTTGGCTGAATAAAATTTCTTATTTCTTTCATGTTACAGATCATCATCCAGTCTTCTGTAGTTATCAGGTATCTTTGAAGAGCGATTGTTGTGGTTTTGTAAGACAATTCTAGTTGAACTAATCCTCTGCCTCCTCCGGATCTGAACACATACAGACGATCAACATCAGCCTTAGAATGATGCATGTGGTGGCAACTGAGAAGTTTTCTCCTTTTGACATCCATTCGTTTAATGTCAACTATGGCGCAATTAAGGACGTTGAAACTGTATTGCACCACAAGGACAGCCAAAGTGTTTATGGCTGATATTCTGTTTTGTGAATTCAACTCTGTATACAACGCCAGACGCACACGTCTATAGTATTCGTTTCTTACTTTCTCTTTCATTTGGGCATGCTGTATTCTATCTCCTTAACTGACTTCTAGCTATTTATAGGATTCTTCCTGTTCCAGTTCCCTAATCTTTGTGACAAAATCTAGATTGAGTGTGTTTCTGTAATTCTCTCTTTCCTGGATGTTACTTTTGCACATATATCTAATACGAAATCGATACAAATGTCATCACTGAAATATTTTACAGTATGTTGAGGATACCTTTCAATTCATTGTTGTCTTTGGCAAAGAGTTTGAAATCAACCATGTAGAATAGGTGACTAAACACTTTCTTTTTTAATTTATATCCATATCTGTTTGACTCATGAAAAAGGGGGTTATTTACATACATTACATTATGCCTCTTCATTTGTTGGGGAACATAGAGCAGAAACAACACCTCTCCGAAGGACGCGGTTCCTGGCGATCCTCTCCAGCTCGTCCCATGTCGTGCCGGCTGCCTTCACCTCTGCATCAACACTTCTGCGCCAAGTCTATTTCGGTCGACCCACTTTTCGCTTCCCCTGTGGATTCCAGTCAAGAGTATGCCTGGTGATACTAGAAGCAGGCTTGCGGAGTGTCTGGTCGATCTATCTACATTTCGGTTTCTTGAGTTCAATCTCGATTGGTGCTTCTCTGGTCCTGTCCACATTGGAGGTGGGGTGTAGCACACATTAGCACGAAATTCTGGATTACTGATAAAAACGGATTTCCTTCATGTACGTATCAGTATTTTTTAAAAATCATACCAATCCTTCCTCCTCCACCTCCTACTGGTATTATGGTTGTGTTTAAACGCCACATGCTTGTATTTTCTATTTCCAGATCCTTATAGATGGGGCGTTTATTAAATTCTTTCGCTTTTTTATCAGATGGTTTGATCATGCCTTTAAGATAAGATTCATGTACTTTTTATTATTTATTTATTATTACTATTCATACTACAGTAGAATCCCTCATATCCGGAATCCGTCATATCCGGAATCCCGCATATCCGGAATCCCTCATATCCGGAACCCCGCATATCCGGACATGATTTTGATGTGTATATTTGAACTATTTGGGTGATATGGAACTGATTTGAAATTTTTGTTTTTCAAGAAATTTACTTTGGTAATTGTTTATGCTTATTTCACCCTAATGGCTTCCAGTGGTGCCAAAGATGATGGGAATAAGAGGAAAGGATGACAACGAGACACATCTGCAACAAGATAGCAATGAGATGCATGATTGGGATGAAACCTGGACTGTAATTGAAAAAGCTATTGAAAAGGTTGTCAGTTTTATGGAAAGAAAGCTAGCATTCAGTTATGATGATTGCAATAACATACGCCGAGTTAAAAAATGTCTTTCGTTTAAAAAAATTCATGAACAAAGCAAAACGAAATGCGGAAAAAGTTGAGAATGACATTAGAAGAGAAAGAATCATCATGCAACAACGATTAAAAAATTATCGTTACATTATTTGTTTTGCATACGTGGCATACTTAATTTAATGAATTTTCATTAACATTACATAATTTATTTCTTTTTCCTTAAAATCAATTCCGTTATATTTCATTCACCATTAGCTTATTTTGTTTACTATAAAATGTTAAACCTGATTTCAGTTCTTTTATTTTAATTTAAATATAACCCCTCATATCTGGACTTTGTAACCAATTCCTCATAGCCTAAAGGACTTCTTAGTCCTGTTGTCAAGGATTCTACTGTATTACTATTAATACTATTCATTGACTGTTCACACCAGTAGTAAATGATGGATTACACTGGCGACCACTAATCTCTTCAATACTTAACCATTCTGCTTGGTATTCTCGCTGTTTCCAATAATCTAGATCTAGTGATTCTAAATGTGGCTCTTATGCTAACTACTAGTGGGCCTGAAAATTCTTTAAAATGGGCCTAGAGTTGGCCCAGGGAAAATAGGTGGAATTTAGAATTCTATTTTTCCCCATTGGTGTAAAATTATGAAAACGGAAACTTCTTTATTTTTAAAAGGCAACTAATTCGGAAACGATTTAATTTAAATTAAATTTAAATTTAATTTAAATTTAATTTAAATCAATTTGATACATTTTTTGTTTTATTATGCAATGTTAGAAAAACTTCGTGTTCATTTAATTTACATTTCATTTATTTGACAAGCTTGATAGATAGACAAGCAGGAGCAGTATAGTCAGTATTGGTCAGGATTTATATTTTCTAAGAGGAAATGGATAGGGAGGAATCGGAGAGCCGAGTTCGAATTTCAGTCGAATCTATTACATTCACTTACGGCTTGGAAAAAGTATGAATCCTCTTCTACCCACCCCAGATATGGGTAAATAGCAGGACATACCGGGTTCTGTAGCCTTGGATGGCAATTGGTATACCGCAGAAAGTAATGAGAAGCTACTTCAGGAAAAAATTGCCTTATCAGTCATGTATCGAAAGATACATGATCGCCTTACCGTGTATCGTACATGGCACATTACTGACTGAAGTAGCAACGAGAGAAAGAATATCGTCGCCCGCCATCCGTGTACACCCTTGTGCAAATTAATTGAAACAACCGCTTCAGTTTCCTTTCTTTCACCATACGGTCAGTTTTAGCACCACTGGGGTGACAGGATGTAATCGATGTCTATTTTTTTTCTCAGATTAGGTCATTTGCAGTGGTGTGCAGTAATATGAATCTATTTTCGGGGTGTCTGATGAAATTTGTTTGGCCTTGAAAAATATTGTCATCCGAGATTGCTTCAGATTTTAATCACTCTCAGACACTATTGTCTCGACTGTCGATTAGTTGTCCTATTGACATTGTCTGCGATGGACGTTACCCCAAGAAAGCGTACGAAAATTTGTAATGCTGCCCAAACGCAATGGCCAGCGTTACCAGTGAGAAAATCAAAGTACTATAGACTGGCTCGGAAACTCTCCTGATTTAAATCGAGAATCTGTGGTCAATCTGCAAAGAATGATTTCGTGGAATGGACATACGAAGTACTAACATGTGCACTGGGTCATGTTTCATTGGAAAAATGCGAAAACAAAGTAAATAATAACGGAATTATTCGTTTTGATTCAATTGATTTGCACAAGGATGTATGTATTTCTTTGAAGATAATTCTGTATTTATTCTATTTTATTTTCTATTTGCACCTCTCTATTTTCTCTCTATCCCTCTCTATTTTCTCTCTATCCCTCTCTATTTTCTCTCTATCCCTCTCTATTTTCTCTCTGTCCCGCTCTCTTTTCTCTCTTTCCCTCTCTCTTTTCTCTCTCTCCCTCTCTATTTTCCTCGTTATTAACGTTTCCTTCCTTTTTATTTTGTTTTTTGAATCGAATTTATTTTACCTTCTTTTCCCCCTGTTTGAAAAATTTGAATATTATGTCTTTGGCGATTTTTCGGATTCATACAAGCATTGAACGTTATTACACCACCCGCACATCCAAGCTTGCAGCACCTGGTATTCCCAAGTGGTCACTCATCTAGATCCTGACCAGGCACAACGTTGCTTAACTTCGGTGATCCTACGCGTATCGATGTTTCAATATGATGTGGCCGTAAGCAAAGCACTCAGAAGCACTTCATCGTGGCGTAATGGTTAGCAATTACGACTGAGTAGTGAGTTCGATTTTCACTGTGTGCTCCACGTGTATGGCCTTGTGCCACTAAGCCTCAATGGACAAATCACTATAGATAAGATCCTGAGAACTTCGACGTTGTCTAATAGTTAAAAACCTTTTCTCACTAAATCAATTACGACTGAGTAGTGAGCTTGATCCTCATTGGGTGCTCTACAATTGTGCCCTTGTGCCACGTCTAGGCTACGCTTTGTAAATCACATTTGATGTGGTTTAACAGGTTTGTCTCGCTAAATCATTAACGAGTAAATTCAAATCCTTACTGGGTGCCCTATACATGAAGCCTTGTACCAAATCACTTAATCCCCACTTCCCTTCTGGATTGGATTATCAGTTTTAATCCGTTTTAATCTGTAACTATGAAACGGCAGAAAAAGTTTGCACGAATGTCTACACAAAATGGACAAAAAACGTGAAGATTAATTAAATTGTTTTTATAGTTATTTTCGATTTAATTATATGCAAAAACTATAAAAAAATATTTTAAAATTTATTTAAATTATAAAAATAAAGAAACAAGAGAAATAAAAGAAATCTTAAGTTCCTAAGTTTAATATTTTTAACCGTATGATACTCCTTGAAGAATTCTATGCATAATGGGATTGGACGAACTTTGCACCAAGTTGTCACCATTTTCAAATATCGTAATACGTCCGAATGATAAGATAAAAAACAAGTAAAATCTATAGACTTTCTTGTAATTTTTTTTTATAGATGTGTGTAATGAGTGTCCAGTTGGAAAGTGTCTGGAGTTTTCTTACCTTGAATTTTTTTTGAATTCTAAAAGAAAAATGTTACTATTATGGCCGGAAAATGAAAAAGAGACGACATTTTCGTTCACGCACGTGTTAACGATCTGTTCGTGTGAACTGCTTGTCCAATAGTGAGTATGTCACGTGTCTGTACGTGTAGAGGAGAAAAGTGTGGTCGATTTTCATTGGTTTAGAATGAGTAAATTACTGATAATTACAATAATTATAATTATTTTATTATGACTATTTTTTGATTCTATATTTAATTTTTATTTATTTATTTTTATGGACACAACAGAGGCTTCAAAAATCTTTTCTATAATTTTCGTTAGGAATAGTATTTTTTATTGGATATTATGGGCTACCATTTTACTAATCTTTACGTGCTTCCATATTTTAGTAATTCAATTTAACGTAGTATTTTACTGCTTATGTATTTGTAGAATGGGCGCCTACCTTTGAGAAAATGTTAGAAAGATAGTTTCGTTGATCGTTCACGCTTGAGTTCGAACCTGGTACTGTCACTGCCTGATAATTAATAGCATGACACTCAGATTTGTTCAATTTCTGGTTTCAATTAATGTTGCTTTAGTAAAGTAATTGCTGATTACTTTTTCTTAAATTTTCGAAACAGACTTGCTTAATAAATTAATTGCTTGTTTTAGATACTTGTTTCCGAAACTGGTTTGTTTAATAAAGTAATACTTTGTTTAATTCTTTGTTAATTCGACAATTTGATTCATCAATTAACTACTTGTTTAAATGTTTGTTGAATCAAAACTCTTTTGTTAAATAGAAATAACTGCTAATTTTAATCTATGTTAATTCCAATTTTTTTTCCATAAAGTAGTTGTTATTTTAAGGTTACAGCTTTACTTTCAAAACTTATTTGTTTAATAATTGTCTGTTTCTCTCTTTTTAAAAAAATCCAAGTTTTCATAAATAATCTAATCACGGGTTTTAATATTTGTTAGTTTCAAAATTTTTAGTTTAATAATATAATTTCTTTACGTCAATGTTAATTCTAAAACTGGTCTATTTATTAAAGGTATTTTTTTTAAAACGGAATCGAAGCAATAGAAACGATAATCATATTTTAAGGCTAAAATTTTACATTCAAAACTGATTTGTTTAATAATGTCATTTAACTGTTTCTAACTTTTTAAAATCCTAAAATTCGTATATAATGTAACTGTTTTAACCTTTGTTAGTTTCAAAATTGTTGGTTTAATAATGTAGTCGTTTTACGTCAATAGTTATTTCGAAACTGGTTTGTTTCATAAATAAATTGCATCTTTATTTGTTAATTATGGGATCAACTGGTTTCATAATCTAATTGTTTGCTTCCGTCTTCTAAACTGGTTTGTTTTATAAAAGAATTGCATCTTTCTTTGTTACTTATGGAATATGTTGGTTTCATAAACTAATTCTTTGTTTTCGTCTTCTAAACTGGTTTGTTTTATAAAAGAATAGTTCTTTTAAACGGACAAGAAAAATTGAAAGTATGTTTGTTTCGAGTTTTATTTTAATACTATAGAACTTAATATACCGGAATTCTTCCACCATTCAAAGAATTGTCTTCATATCAACGCTGACATTATCTATATAAAATTCTCAGATTTTCATTTATTCCATTTTAATGAATTTTTTCCAGAAAATTATAAAAAAAATTATCAAAATTAAAAAAAAAAAACAATTAATGAGAAATGTTTTTCAAATGGATAAAAAAATTATCGCGGCTTTTCTTTTGTGGAACTGAAATTTTGGAGAGACTATATGTCGTCGTTACTTCCGCTTGCGATAAATAAACTGATTTCGAACACAAAGAACAGAAAAAAGTCAGGTGAGAATTAGTTAATTGCCCAGGTGATATAAATGATCCGTTAAAAGGTCACAAAGAAATCTTAATATTTCATTTTGAAATATATTGTCGCAGAGATTGATCAGATGTTCCTGAAAGACGAAATGAAAAATGAGAAAAAATAACCAGATTTTAAGAATCGAAAGAATTAGAAAAAAATAGGACAGAAAAAGGAAAAGAAAAGGCTGGAAAAAATAAACTTAAATGAAGTCAGCACAATTTGACAACTTTATTAGATTTGCATGTTGCGTTTGTCTGAGAAGACGGCGTTGGCCGCTTTATCACAAGAATGGCAACAAAATGATTTTCAGTCTGCAGTAATTTAAGAAAAAGAAAAAACAAGCTAAATATTTCCTTCTGCGAGTTCAAACTGAATTGATTAAAAATGGAAGTTTTAAAAATGGCGTCCTCTCTTTTATTCTGCTTAATAAGTATAAACAGCCCAGGAATGATTGGTGTGGGAAGTGATGTGGATGGTCGGAGAGAGATAAGTAGAAAATTTAAAAAAAAAAAAAAGAAAAAAGAATAAAAGGAAGGAAAGACGACCAATGAAGGAATGGAAGTAATTTTAATCCCGGAAGGGCGTATGTCTTTTCTGCTCCATTTAAAAGAGGCCCCGAAGAAAAAGAAGTCACATTCGCAGGTATCTTCCACTCCGTGATTCCACTAAAGAAGAAGAAGAAGAAGAAAAGAAGAAGAAGAAGAAGAAGTGGGGACACATGTTGAAAAATTTATTTCCGAAAAAACGCGTTTAACATACAGCCATAAAGACAATTATTCCGAGCACACCATGCGGCTGTGAAGGTTGTGTATTTCTCATCAGACGGCGTTCGAACCCAAGTAAAGACTTCCAGGCAGATAAGCAAACTTAGACTAGCATTTGGTTTTATGGCCTATTCTGATAATAGGGCAGATCCATTTTGGAACCGTGGCATTGCACTCAATTTAAAAATTGGCGTTTGTCATGATAAATTGTGACACAAAACATTTTTTTCCAAATCCTTGCCATTTTTGAAGAAACGAGTTTGAAGATCGAGTTTAGGTTTAAAATTGGAGCGTTAGAATTTCATTCTGGTGATCAGGTTGTGCCTTATAGCACAAGAGTATAACATTTATAAGCAAATGAAGCTTCCCAAATTGTACATGGACAAGATGCAAGGCACAAGCACATTATTACTACATTATTGTACCATCAAATAAGATCTTCATTTACTTTAAAGGGAAATTATACTGAACAATTTAACTCCTCGGCCGTGGTGCTGGAAAGCGGCCGGATCCTTTCTCCTGTGCTCGTAGTGCCGACAGCTTTCCTAGGCATGCAGCAATAAACGACATCATCAGATGAGGTCTGGTTGCAGCTGTGTTTCCCTCCCAAATCGAATCCGTAGGCCTTGACCGTGGTGATAGAAAGCGGCTGGATGGGATTACCATTTTCCCTTTTAAAGTGGGGAAGTCGTTGATTTGGGATGCGACCTGGGCGGATACATTTTCGACCGGTAATTTGATCAGGACCTTGGTTGAGCCGGGGTCTGTCGCCCGGGACGTGGAGTTAAAAAATAGTTAAATACTCTTCTCTTGCGGACATTTATTTTTACTCCTGTGGCAGTGGAACCTTCTGGGGTTATTGGCCCTCGTTCGATGACGTTCCTTCGGAGTGTTGGTGGGATTGAGTCTCAATTAAGGGACGAGCCTCGTTAAACCGAGTGTCTCTTGCAGCGCGTCCCACTGGCGATGTTGTAAGGTAATGCTTTCTCCATCATTGCGGCTGGCAGAGGATAGCAAAAAAAAAAAAAAAAAAGTAATAAAAGATAATGATAAAAAAAAATTTGGTTTTTGTTTATAGATACTTTGTTAAAATAAAAACTATAGTCATTATTTAGCTATATTCTGATGTAATATGTTATACAGTGCAGTTGTTTTAGTGTGATTTTCAATAAACAATACAAATTTAAAACATTTTGTCTTATAATTCGTGCCCAGCAGTATCATGATGTTATATACACTTTTATCTATTTTTTATTTTCATTAATTATGATCTAACAAAACTTATGCATTGAGTAGACTTTTTTTGTAATCTTGCAATTTTTTTACACAGTTTTACTTATTAAATACAGTAAAAAAAATTGCATATTTTGCTTGTGGTGATCATAATTAGAATTCTGGTTTGAATATATTTTCCATTCAATGCATCTAATGCAAAATATATCAGCTTTATTTTGATTTATTCCTGAAATAGTTAAACTTTGAAATCAGTTTGTATGCAAAAAAATTGCAGTAATTAGGTGTTTCTCTACATTTTTCAGACAATCT